CCTAGATCAGCTTCTCCTCCTTCTGCGACGAGTTCAACTTCTCTGTCTGTCTCTCATCCTCCGCCGCTGCCGCCTCCTCCCCTGTCTCCGGCTTCCTGCCCGGGGCTGGGGTGTCCCCGGTGATGGTCCCCAGGACTTTGGTGCTGTGCTCCTGAGCTTTGGCCCTGAGGGCGGCAATGCTGTTTTCTCTCAGTTCCTCCTGGGAAATGGTGGTTTTGGGATCCGGGCCCCTCTCTTCCTTGTCACCCTTGTCAAGCTTGGGCAGGGCCTGGCGCTCCACCTCCGTCTTCCTCCCCGCCTCAGCCGCTGCCTCCAGAGACTTTTTGTGCATCCCTAAAAAGAATTGTTGGTATTCGGGTTTAGAAAAGCGCCTGGGCATGGGAAAGCCATCTTGAACTGAAAACAGCAAAGATAAAGAGAGGCCAGAATTAAGGAAAAGCAGAAACCCTCGCTTCACGCAGCAGTCGCGGCAAGCTGCTCGCTCTGGCCCCCGCGCGAGGGCAGCCCAGGCAAGGCAGCTGCCTGCTGGGGCAGCCCGGCCCCTGCACCTGTGGCCTCGGGGCTGGCCCCAATTACCCTCCCCTCCATTTCTCTCTGTGCACCTAAAGCTAACTTGTCCCCGCAGGGGGACGAGGGTCTCAGACAGCAGCACAGTTGCCTGAGCTTCACTGAGGCTAGGGAGAGAGATCCCCCATTGCCTATTCCTGTATCAATCCGCTCCTCACGCAACCCACCCCTCTGCCTCTCCATTTCACACAGATAGAAGGACAGGACAGCCCGTTGTCAAGATGCCGGACACTAGTTTGGGGGCAGAACCAGCCTGAAAGGTCAGAAAGCAGGAAGCAAACAGCAGGAGCATGGTAGGGTAGCTGCTACCTCTGTGTCTGCACAGAAAACCAAGTGAAACAAGGCAGAAATGCAGCTCCTCCAGGTGCCGAGAGCAGGAGGAGGCAGCAGCATGCACCCCCTGGGACTTGAAGCAAGGAGAGCACATTTGGGGGTCCTGGCACCCCGCATACTGTCACAGGGCTGGGGGAGTCAGACAGGAATGACCTCCTGCCTTGGGCAAGGATTGGAGCTCCTGCTCCAGGGCTGGGCACGAGGGATGCTCATGCCATGAGAGTCAAAGGCTAGCACCAGTCTGAGTATGGGGGACAAATTCCTGCCCCAGCCAGATCCTGCAGGTCAGGATCCAAGGACCAGCAGGGATTTGGGATGAGCAATCAGACCCTATTGATGAGGGCCACTGGGGGACAGGGGGCTAGAGGGTGGCCGGGCAGGGGGAGCCTTGCCCCACCGCCCTCCAACCGTGTTTTCAACATGGCTCCGCTTTCTTCCTTGCATCCCCCTGCTTCATCTCCACCCACCGCCATCCCCCATGGAGGTGGGTGCTCTCTTACCCAGGAGCCAAGGGGCACAGGACTCCATGATGCCATCCTTGGCAGACTTGAGGATGGATTCGGGCAGCGGGATGGAGTGACGCACCATGGCACCGTAGAGCCCATACTCAGCCATCACGCTGCTCCTGCCCCAGCACTTCTCCCTCTTCCGCCACTTGGCCCGGCGGTTCTGGAACCAAACCTGGGGCGGGCAACAAGGAGGGACATGGGGTTTTTTGTGGAGAAGGTGTGTCAGTCCCCTTCCCGCACGTGTGTTTGTGCAGCAGGATGAAGGTGGATGGATAGATGCTCTTTTCAAAAGCACTGTGACTTCTTCCCCCATGCAGCAGCCGCCGGGTATCTCTCCCTCCCTCCCTCCCTTGCAGGAGCGGCAAGGGCCAAGAATGAGAACAGGTCCCATCCCTCTCTGCAGGATGTAATTAATTTGCCATCGTGGCGTCTTTTTCTAGCGGCTTTTGGCTCTCGTGCCTGGGATTTTCTTGCATTATTTACTGGGTGTCTGAGCTGCGGTGCAGGGCTGCAGGCAGCGGTGCCTGCAGGGAGGGCTGGGATGGGGGCGGATGCTCAGGAGAAGGCGGGAGAAGGGGGAAGCTGATCTGTGTGCTTTGCCCTGAATTCCCAGTTTGAAAAGCCCCTCATCTTCTCAGAAAATTGGCAGAATAATCTCTGAGCTGTGACCTGGGGGGCAGCCAGCAGAGAGGCGGGTGGCGATGGCGGGGCGAGGGGGATGCTTGCAGAAATCTATTAGCGCTCTCTCTCCGATTTCCATTCCTCTTGTCTCCCTCGCCCTCCTCCCTCCCCGGCTCCCCTCCCTTCCTGACAAGCAGAGGCATCAGCTTTAGATGAAAAATTGCTCGAGGTCTATTCAGAAGGAGGCAAAGGAAGAGTCAGCCCCAGGGGCAGCCCAGGCCTGATTGAAAAATAAGTTAATTTCAGTTTGAATCGATGGGCCTCAGGCACTGAAATATCACGGGAAATTAAAGCAGCTGGTCCCCAGGGAACCACGCCATTGACCTGCGCTAATTAATGCCATGGAGTTACCAGGCCCCTCTCCGAGAGGCAGCCCCTCCTTCCCCGTGGACACCCCAAACACCTCCTCATTTAACTAATTAGACTCACAGAAAATTGGGTGTTAATTTGTTTAGGATTTTTTTTCCTTTTCTATTTTTTTCCCTCCCTTTCCCGGAAAGTACACGGCAGAATGGAAATGAATGGCGGGGTCTCGCTGGCAGATGGATGCTCGGGGTCACTCCGCAATCTTCTCCGACTTGATTGCTTGATTAGGTCGTTAGCACATTAAAAAAAAAAATTGCTTGCCGTCTGGCGCTGGCCTGATGAGTGGGATGAGGCGGGAATCGCCTGGGTAATTTATCTTTTTATACTGCAAAGAATTTGATTTCAATCTGCAGATATATGGAGGTGCCTTTGACACCTGTTTAACATTACAGAGCTGACAGCTTAACCCTCTCTTGTCCCCACTGCCCGTAGCCATGGGGGAGCTCAGACTGCAGTGGGGAGCACTGGGGGACTGGGGCAGACCCCCAGCTCTTCGTGGGGACCCCAAGACTGATGCTGCAGAGCGATGCCCTGCTCTCAGCTGGCAAGGCAAGCTCACCTCTTCTACCTGTGCAGAGGGGAACTGCCCAGCACCGAAGCCTTACAGGGACAGAGCTGCAGGGTCAGCGGGTGGCTTGCTAGTGCTGGTGACCGCCAGCCGCTGACCCTGCAGCTCTGTCCCCGTAAGGCTTCGGTGCTGGGAGCCCGGCCAGACTGGCCCCACAGGGAGCTCTGAGGGGTGGATGGGGTGGTGGTCCCAGCAGCTGTGATCCCAGCTTCTCCCAGCAGAAGACACTCTGTGCATGTCAGAGGGGATTTTACAGCCAGGCTGCTTCACCACACGTCACCTCCTCTGCATGATAAACAGGCTGATTTACACTTTCATGCTGCTGATATGTAACCCCTGGACCATGGTTGGCTGCGAATCCACTGGGGCCTGAGCAAGAACATGGTTCCACTCCCTCGTGCCTGTGTGACACAGGGGTTTGCTCCATCATGCAGTCAGCAGGATGCTGCCAGGGTCTCTCACTCCCGGAGCCCGGAGGGCAGAGCTGGAGGGGACTGGCTCACGCCCTCTCCAACCTCAGCATAAACCCTTGTGGTTCCTTCTCACCCAGCAAGACCGGGGCGGCGAGGCAGCTATCCCTGACACCTCCATGCAGCGAGGGGGCAGCTCGACCCACCAGGGCCAGGAGAGGGATCCTGCCTGTCCTGCCCTGGATAAACCAGTAGAGCTGCAGAGCTCCTCTCTATCTCCTTTGGCTTCACGGAGAAATTCCTGCACAACCCAAGGCCCAGCGCCTGCAAATCTGCCTTGGTTTGGGGCTGCAGTGACACCTTTCCATGTACCCAGAGTGGCCTGAAGGGAACTCTGCACAGCTGTTTTTGTCACCAGTTGCCACACCTGGGATCTCAGCCAGGAACAGATTTTTCCATCAAGTACCAAGTGGGCAACTTTTTAAACTCTCTTCAATCCCCTTTTACCCAGGTGCCTCTTCACTGATGTTTTTACCACCTCTCCCTTTGCCCTCCTTCCCGCCTTGATGCCCCAAACATCTTCCCCCATGCCTCATGCTCCCCTGCCCTTCTCCCTGGCCAGGTCTCAGCCTGCCCCAGCTCTGCCCACTGCCACTAAACCTGCTGCTTTGGAGCAACCCCTTTTCCCCAGCAGGGCCACACAAATGCCAGAGCCAGCAGAAGCTTTGCCAGCTGGCAGCCCAATTTTGACTAGAGCCGGTAGAAATTTTTCAATCAAAAAATGCTGATTCAATCGCACAGGAAAAACTGCATCTGGCCAGTGGCAGTGTAATCAAAATTATGTATGGCTTTCTTCTGAATGCTGTATTTTAATCTCAGCTCCCTAAGACATGCAAAATCTATGCTTTAAAGCCAAATGGGAAAATCAAAATGACATCAAGACCCCAGTAAGATCACTTTGAGATTTTCCAAATCAATTTTTGTCATTTGATGGGAATTTCCTCTTGGTTTTGACTAGGAAAAAGGAAAGTTTGAAATCCCAGAATTTCTAGCCGAACAGAATTTGGGAGGACTGACCATCTTGCTTTAATACCAGGAGCCATATCTTCATCTCAGGCATGAAGTTGAGTGAAACCAGCAGTGCTCAATACTGAATATCGCTGGGGTCAGACCCCAGCCCTGCACCTCTGCTGCAAGCCCATCCCGAGGAGCATGGAGGGAAGAGCTCCAGCATGGCACTGGCAGCCCCCATGCCATTTCAGATCAGCAGAATTATTCCCCGTGGCCCGTTCTCGGGATTTTGCCCTCATTCAGATGGCTCCGTCAGTGGGACTTTCTTCTGGGAGAAGATCTCACCACTTCCTTCAAATTTCTTGATGTGTTACCAGAATTTTCCCATGCCTTGATGCTGAGCTGAATTACGCAACAGTTTTGGTAATTCTGAGGTATTTTCAGCTGTGTTGGTACATCAGCCCCAACTTCCAAATATGCAATCATTTATTATTGGCACCTCACTTTTCCTGGAGAGGGTTTCACCCTTACGCTTACATTTACTCATGGCTTTGGTATTCCAAGTCTTCTTTGGCTGCTTGTTGTCTTTTCTTCAAGACAGCTGCTCTACTACTTCCTCTGGCTCTGTAAAAGTCAGTCTGCTTCAAGCAATGTTTAGGTTTGTCCGTGTTTCCTCTTGCCCCTTCCCATCGCGTGCATCGTCTCAGCTTTGTGAAATGCTTTATTGTCGTGGCTGTGTACCATGCACCTTCCTTCTCACTTGCTTTCACCTGGTTCTCTGTTCCACAGCCCAAGGTATGGTGAAAAGATTGTGTTTGTGCTTCCACACTTCACAAGCAGTGGTGAAACCCCCTGATTAATTTTAAACCGAAGCATGTCAGATGTTTGTGCGAAGCTATTGCAATCTGATGAGCAGAGGTGTCTTTTGGACCAACGTGCTACATCTTAAGATGATTTACAGCTTTTTTTATCACATGAGCACCCTCTGAGAAACATGGGAAACTTGTTCCAGGAACCCTATCCTCAAAAAATGGACAAGAGAGTAAAGAGGACAGGTTTATCTCGCTATCCACCAGACACGTTAGCATCTAAGTTGAGCCCATGCATGCATGTTTGCTATTTAGCAGCCCAAAACCTTCTCCTGAGCTGCTCCTGAGGCTCCACAAGTGCTTCCCTTGGCACACCAAGGGTTGGATCTGGGGTGGTCACTGCATGGCTGAGCTGGGGGCAGCAGGCAAGGCGGCCTCTGACAAGGCTGCCGAACACCCTCTGTGCACCGTCAGCAGGATAAGATGATGCTCACTGCACACTGCAAGTTGAGTATGCCTGCACACCCTGCAGAAACTGCAGCCTCTTCCATATCCATGAGTTTTGGTCCTCTAGGCATAGAAAAGATGCAAGACCAAAAACTTATCACCTTGCAAAACCTGGTCTCAATATGAAGCAGGCAAATAGAGGCTGGTAACATAACACTTCGCTCAGAGAGGATCTGCCCGTCAACTCAATCCCTATCATTTGGTCAGAGCTGAGCATCACATACTCTCTAACCCCACTGGGCACATCACACTGACACTGTCTCTTCCAAGAGCAGCCACAGCCTATGAACCAAGATAGCAGCAAACGCCTGCACCTTCAGTGTCATCTCCTGGATCCTTGTTCCACATGCCTGTTCTTCTGAGGCCCCCTTACCGACATCAACAGTATTGCAAAGCCTTATAAACAGGGATGTTTCTAACCTTAATCATCATCTAATTCTCACCCTCAGTGCCCAAAGCAGTAAAAGTTGAGGCACTCTCTGCTTGACCGCAGGGTTGCAGCGTTTTGGAATCAAGACTGGCAAGGTTATTCTTGCCAGTTTCCTTCTTTGAATCACAAAAGATGGCTGATACTTCTTTGGATTATTGATGATGTGGAAGAGCAAATTGTAGTAGGGGGAATCTCTCATTTTGCAAAGGGACGTGAGACTCAATACGTCCTTGTTATCCGCATTCATCATATTAGTTAAGTTTGTTTACCTAATCAGCTCCTGAAACATTGTCTGCTAAAGAGAGAAATCTCCCTGAGGTTGGCCATGAGCCAGGAATCTGAATTAGCAAAGGGATATTTTAAGGCACCTAGGGTGTTACTGTGTATTGT